ACTTATCCGCACCAGTCCTTAATATGTATTTCTCAAGCGATGATTTCTTTCCCAATTATCTTTATACCAATCTTCGCCTTTGTGGAGTAGTAATTCTTCAATAAAATAAAATGAGATTTTTCAAATTTCCACTATTTATTGGTTTCCCCTTTCATCTTCCCATGTTTTATAAAATGTCATTAAGCATTTATCTCAGATTATTCTTAAGATAGCTCTCATATTCGGCATATTTCCTTCCCAATGTTAAAAGATCATTGATCTATATATAACAAATCGAAGAATAGAAGCGGAAATTTGGGAAAACAATTGCATCTAGAAATTAGGTAGTGGTTTCTTTTCAATCGAATCCGAGTTTTAATATCACAAAAGTTTTTTAAATGTTACGGATAAATCTGGCAATATTTCATTGTAATAAATATTGTATTCATATTATTTTAAAAAATCGGCAAAAATATTTACAAAACCTAACAAATTGATGAATCACATTTCTAATTTGATATAATTTTGGTACCGCAATTTTGCATTCTCGGCAGTTATGCCTTTGGTTATTCAAATAAATGAATTGTGATCATTGATCTTCATCACTTGTACAATTACAGATCTCCTAACTTCACTTTATCAAATCAAGAGATTTTCCCAGAGATAAAAACGGTTTCTGCATTAAAATAAACAATGGTCCATCTTCCACTGTGCCACAATTCATCGATATTGCTGCAATCGTTGTGTAAAAATAATTATGCAAATTTATTTCCTCCTAAACAGAAAGAAGCCAGCAAATGAAACCTGAAGGAGTATAAAATAAAAGTTCTCGAAATGATTAATACTAATAAATCAGTTCTGTGTGAAATGAACATACATTCTTCTACTTTTGTTGTCGCTATTAATCGGCCATCTTCCCATAACTTATCTGTTTTATAATCTGTGACAACCTCCGCAGCTGAAATTAATGCCACGATAGTACTGAACAAGGAGAGACCTTTGAGATTTGGAATGGTTATTACTATCGCCTAAATTTATCAACCCATAACAATAAGAATTGTGTCTTCCACTTTTTCAGATTTTTTTTCTGCCAAAGCAGTAAAGTAGTAAAGTAACTCTCGTTGTCTCTACAACAAAAATAAAAATCAATGGTATTCGAACCAATACAGTTACCATTGAAATTATTTCTGCTATCAAATGTTGTTTTACGAGAAATCCCAAATGAAAAAGCTGGAATGATGAAGAATGCAATATGTACATAGTAGACTTGCATTTTATTAGGGAGCAAATCAGAATCATAAAAAAGTGAGATGTATAGCATACCTACTCCTCTTTCTCCCGCTCCTACTCCTCCACGTGCAGCTGGAGCGGCAGCCTGGCAATAGATGAAAAAAGCAATATGTACTATTAACTTTGCCATATTTAAAATCGTTTGTATAATAATTTCGATGTTTTCTAAAGACAAGTTTTACTTTATTGAAAAATAGCAGCCATTTTAAAAAGAGTCTTAGTTAAACGCTTAATGACATTTTCTAAAACATTAGAAATGGGAAGTCGACAAGTATCCTTTGGAACCTTTTGACGTTTGCAAAATGTCTCAAATCCATTTCATGTCATTCAGCAAAACAACAACCGCAAAAAAAAAACTGATCCGAGCTCTCACTTCATATGACACAATAATGATCAGATAAATATTATTCGGCAAGTTATCGCCGTCATGGCAAGTAATCTGCATGTTGACCTTATAATTCATTATCATACAATAAATATATTCTTGAACATATGTAATTAAGATGATTAAGTTCTGAAGCAGTGTCGAGGATGGTCAACATTAGCCCACGAAATTATCACTGATAAAGCAGTGTCTAAGAGCATTTTTTAAACACTGGCAGGAAAAAAGAATGGTAGAACCATTAATAGTTGAAGACTCAACAAAGGCGCTTTTTATACTTCCGCAGCGGAATCTTGGAGGACATCCTGCCCGATATTAGCGGATCAATGCTCTATTTTCTACATTTCTCGAGTGTAGCAAAAAGAGAACTGTCTCGGACAGACAATGATATGAACGAGTTTTGAATGTTCAGTTCTACTATTCAGCGATAACAATGTGTTGTCATCCTTTTGTACAAATTAATTGTGTTCACTAAATATGTTATTCAACGCTCGAACGCTCGGAAGCAAATTTTGTTTTTGTCTGAAATTTCTGCAATTCAAATTTAGGAAGCAAATGTATCGATTTCCTTTTAAACTGAGCTAGTGAATTTTTGAATATTATTAAGGTTTCTTTGATGCTATTGATAAATACGAATTTCTTTGAATTTCTTTCCTGAATTTTTGCACAAAGAAATTGAATTTTTTTGTTGAATTTCTTCGATAGCACATATGTTCGTTTTGATATGTTAATAATACACAAATGTACATTTGTTGATTTTTTAGGTAGAATAAATGGTAAGTAGCTAGCAATGTGCGAACGTATATTTTTGACTCTTCAGACAGCGCAGGTATGTTTGTCGTTATTTATTGGTGCGCAAATGCGCGTTTGTTGTTTTTGTGGTAATACGTGTCAGCGACAAGCTGGAAATGCTTAAATGTTTGTTTGCTACAAGTCAGCAATGTGCAAATGAACGTATAATGAGTTTTGAAACAGGATAGACAGGTGTTTGTGATAATTTTTTTTTTTCTTTTTAAAAAAACAAACAATCAAGATTCAATAACTGCATGTTTTCTCATGTCATTTTACTAATTGCATCCTTTTTCTTTATTAATCTTATTTTGGTGTTATTTCGAATTAATACAGTATAAGTTCATCTTTGTGCATGGATCATTTTTCCCTGCAAGCCTACTATAAGTTATTCATCTTTTATACTAACAGAAGCAAACTGTAATCATTGTCAAATTATGCCAAAATCATCCAATGTTGAGATTTAATCGTTTTTGATACAAATACTTTGCATCAATTAAAAGTGACAGTCGAATGATCATAATACTTGGATGGTAATGATAATGAAGTGATACTTCGGTGATAATGAAATCTCTCTGTTTCTAAATGTACTAAGAATTGTAAGCAGAAGGCATAATAGCGAAAACAATTTAAGGAATGCAATTAGAATTAGAATTGAACCAATATACCAAGAGTGTAATTCATTCCGCCCCAAAAGATCAATGCAAAACTTCACTGAATATTTAATATTCAATGGGTATATTAATCATTGTTATGTTTGTCCTTAACTGCAACAGTTTCTTCAGTAATTGGAGAAAAACAAAACGATATATGTTTGTCAGTCGCCTGAAATGGTATCATGTGAGTTAATTAAAGCTTAATGCATCAGTATGCAACACTCCAAGGTATCATATTTATAGCGAAGTGAAGGATTTCATTTCTAAAGCTTATTAAAAGTACGATCTTCGGAACCTAATGAAATAATCATGAATCCCAGGGTCCTATGGCATTGGCCATTGTGATTAGTAACGATCTCAGAAATACTAATGAAGGCATTAAAAGTGAAACACTGACTGTAGCCGACGAAATTCGAAAGTATGTACCAAATGTACCAATTTGCATTGTTGCTCAATCGGATAATCGAGAGAAGACGTAAGTTAGACTTGATTGTTTCTTGGCTAACAGATCAATCTAGAATGGAGTAATACCGGAAAGAGTTGATTATGACAATATTCATCCAAAGAATGTTTTTGATAAGATGAGCATTAATTCCGGTGTCGAATCAGAATGTCTTTCTTGACGGTCTCCAAAATAGGGCGAATGCTACAATAATTATGAAAAAACGATGAATGTTTTAACATTGTCGCAATAAATATGTTTATTTCGGTACACCCATCAATCCGATAGGGACTGGTAGAGTGTTAATATTCCACGGATCTGATGTAAGCGCGTCGACCCTTGTCGTAGATAAAAATAACAGCGAAATGTTGAGAACAAAGTTTGAGAACTGGAAGGTTTGACTTGTTTATTCGCTCTAATTGTTTTTTAATTTATTTCAGTTTATTCGTAATCGTTAATATTCTGAAGTCATTTTCTCATTAAAAGCATGTCAATTCTTCAAAATTTTGGGATTTGACTGCGTTTCTTGTATGACTTCATATGTTTGTCAAAATATATCAAAAACATGCTCGTT